AATGATGCCGCACAAACTTACAAAATTAGTAAAAACTAAAACGACTTGCTAGCAAAAACTGGAGAAGCGTATTTTTGATAACAGGTGTTGCCCCACATGTCGAATTTAAAATAACGCATGCTTTCTTAAGGTCAAAGGACCAGGAACACGACTTCGCATTCTTCAACAAAGCATGTCGCAAACATGTTTAATTGGGTTCGCAGCTGGACTTAACGCTGGCCACTCTATAACAGATATGTTTACATCGTTTAAGTACTGCTGAGTGATTCCCGCGGTGCGAGGTTTGGCATTATCTTGGATCAGAAGAAAATCATCTTCAATAAAATCAACTTAAGGGAGAAGACGATCTTGAAGAATTTCATCAATGTAACTGGCAGCAGTTGAAGAGCCTCTTGGAGCGATGTACCTATATTTTTGCGTGTGCCTCCAGAGAAAGTCTAGCCCACATCATAAAGGCTCACACACACTGGCGCGATCATGGCGCGATATGGCGGGGCGGTAGCGATATGTCCGTTTACCGCTGTAGAAATATCGTTACCGCCATCGTCATATCACGCTATGTTCGCGCCAGTGTGTGAGATCCTTAACTGAGCCCCCTTGAAACCATACCCTACACTGCCTCTATACAAGGCAGTGGTGACATTTTTAATTAGTTTCAGAATATCCGCCATGTTTTGTCGAAAGTTATCTGTTTACCATTTGATCCCATAGAGTTTTATGCAATTTTCTGTTAATATATTTTTGATTTTTTGACTATTTTGTGATAAACAATTATTATTAGCTTGTGTTTAGTGCTGAGTGCAGCAGATCTGGGAATATTAACTTCTGCGTGGTGAGTATTGGTTTGTTAACCTACAAAATTCATAGAACTAAAATTGTCTACCCTCATTGAATGGTAAAATAAGCTATAAAAATGGCATAATATGTACAGGGTGGCCCGTTTATTTTGTCCTATCTCGGTATATGGAAATCTAGATATTTTATGAAAAAAAGTTTTACATAAAAGTTGTAGGGTTCAATTCATTAATTTGTTTATTTGTATGTTTCCCTTTGATCAAAGTCCTACTTTAAAATATTTATTCTTAACGTCTAACACTGCTACAATAATCTAAAAATTGGCCATTCCTCAAAAATAACTGTAAATAAATCCGAAACCGTGCATAACAACCTTATCAAACTATATATCTTTATATTTGTCTTTGAAAGCTCTATCAAAAGATATAAAATCTTACAGGGTGTTCTATTAAAAAAAAAATTAAATCTGATGTGTCACACTTTTTTTGACTCTCCCTGTATATGCGCAAATATAAAAAAAAACAAATTAATGATTTAAACCCTACAACTTTTGTATTCAACTTTTTGCCCTAAAATATCTAGATTTCCATATACCGAGATAGGGCAAAATAAACGGGCCACCCTGTACAGGGTTATTGGTTATAAATGTCACCCCCCTCTATCTTTTTTATTTGACATTTTAGAAAAAAGTGTCCCATATAAAAGTTTTATGGTTGAAATTAAATTTTTTGAAAAACTCCCTTTCGCATATACAGGGTGTTTCAGAAATGCTGGTCGTGCTCCAACTTTCTTATTTTAAATGGAACACCCTGTATATTATTAAATATTCGGATTCTACGTAAAATTCTGTGAAGATTTCATGTGATATACCCTATACCTAAGTTCAACTATTTTGGAAATATTGACAGTTGAAAATTGACTTTTTTGCAACTTTGATAGGCTGGGAAACCTAAACGGTTAATCTTAGAGCAAAACCGAACTTACATTTTTTACTTAGATTTTCATAAGCTATGATTTGACACCAACTTTGAATTTAACCGGAGATTAAATTTAATTTGAATTTTTAATCATGGATTAAATTCAAAGTTGGTATGTCAAATATCAGTGTCAACTGATAGTTTATGAAAATCCAAGATAAAAACATAAGATCGGTTTTGCTCTAAAATTAACCGTTTAGGTTTTACAGCCTGTCAAAGTTGCAAAAAGTCAATTTTCAACCATCAATATTTCCAAAACAGTTGAACTTAGGTATAGGGTATATCACATGAAATCTGCTCAAAATTTTATGTAGTATCCGAATATTCAATAATATACAGGGTATTCCATTTAAAATAAGAAAGTTGGAGCGCGACCAGCTTTTCTAAAACACCCTGTATATGCGAAAGTGAGTTTTTCAAAAAATTTAATTTCAACCATAAAACTTTTATTTCGGACACTTTTTTCTAAAATGTCAAATAAAAAAGATAGAGGGGGGTGACATTTATAACCAATAACCCTGTACATATACACATAAATAATAAAAAGAGCGAATTTTTATCGTGGCGCCATCTAAGACTAGGATTCAGCACTAAACAGCACTTCTGCTATAACAGTACTGACCGTCCAATAGGCCGACCAGAAATCAGTTTGTTGGGAAAACCCAAAATAGGGAAAACAAGTTTTCTCCTATTAGACACTGATATGTTTACCCAGAATTTTCACATGAATAATATAATAAACTAGCTGACCCGGCGAACTTCGTACCGCCTCTGAATTATTAAATATACCTATTAAATGTTGTGTTAACGTATCTATTAGCTGAATTAAATTCAGTTTTTTTCGATGGTGAATTTGGCTTTGGTTGAAGAAAATTAATGTATACTCTCTGGATCAGAAGTCACCTGAAATTAAAATTTTACATCATCCTTTTTTAGGCAGCTTGTGGGCATTATTCTTGTAAAGTGTACCACCAAATAAATAAACTCAGGCACAGGAATGTTCAAACAATGTAAAGAAAAGAAAAAAAATCTCTAGCGCAGCCCTATTTCACTCTATCTGCACTGCATGCACTGCACTACTCCATCTGTTCTACTCTATCTGCACTACTCTATCTGATCTACTCTCTCTGCACCACTCTATCTGATCGGAATAGTGAAATAGTTCTGTTCGAAATAGCTCCAGTTCCTGAGCAGCATTGTTCTACTGTATCTGCAATGCCGAGCTTCGTTCCAGGTATCAGAGATGGCGCGGTATACAAAATACAAAATAAACTTGGTATCGGTTATAAGAGATGGTGCAGTATGCGGGCTTAGTAAATTTTTTTCATAAATAAATAAAATAAGTAATGAAATGACCACATTAATGACATAACAACATGCTGGTACTGTCAACGCTGAAAAAAGTTTCAATTTGACAGCAAAATCCCCATTAACAAAATGATCCTCCATTTATTGAATAATTTCATTTATTACAAAAAATGTGATAAATGAAGAACCGCTCGACCGATTTTGTGCAAACTTCACATAAACCATCTAATAAATAGTCCGAACAAAGCCTAAACATTTGGTTTGGCTAGGTGAGCCCGTTCTTGAGTTATAAAATTACAACGAAAAATGGCATTAATTTTTATATATATAGATATGCATAATTATCCAATAAAGAACAACTACATTATTGGATGAGTTCGTAAAAACATGGCGGGTGGGCGGAGCTTAGGAGCTATTGTCGTCACTGTCTTGAATAGAGTCACTGTAGCCTACCCTAGGACTGAGGGCACATTCAACAGAACGCTGTTGTGACCAACTGAAGACCGGTGCCTAAGTCTGAATTCATCGGGAAACAAAACCTGCCCCCATTCATTTTCACCCCAGTGCTCCTGATTCCGGGCAAACTGAAGTCGCGCAATACGATACCGCCCAAGAAGCTCTGAACCTGTTGCACGTCTACAACTGGTGAGATTGGCTTTTCTTCTAACTGTCCATTCCAGAAATCATTTCTGATTTCTACAGCGGTAGTATAACGATTTCGCAGACTTTGTAAGAGAATAATGCGATCATCACGAGTGGAAGTTCTTCGTTGGGGACCAGCCAGTGGCGTAGCTATCGTAGGGCAATTCGGTGCGGCGCCCCGGGGCCCCGGTGGTGAAGGGGCCCCGAAGCCACGCGCAAATATTTTTACGAAAAATATACTTACTAGCGAAAACTCACAGGGACAAAAGTTTTAAAAGAAGTTCGAAATAATGTATTAAAGCTAAGAGATTCATACGAAGAAATTAAAGGTGAAGCAGTGGAATTAGCAAGAAAGTGGAATATTAATCCAGTGTTTCCAGAAAAAAACGCAAGTCCGACATAAAAAGCATTTCGATAAACTCGCGAACGACTACAGATTTGAGAGCAAACCAAATTTAAAGTGACTATTTATTATCGTGTAATTGACGACGAAGTAGTTGGTCAACTATTACACAGGTTGGTATGGAATATGTTGTTTGTTATTCTATGTTTCCAGTTTCCAAAAAAAAACGTGTAGAATTATGGTGCGCAGTGTTATTGGACATGCGATTTTGGGAAACATATCTCATTTTATTCATCCGCAACAAAAGCAGCCGTTCGGACTTACCCGCCATAATTTCCAGAATAAATAAGCGCAGCACAACTTTTAAATATTTTATCCTTTACCCCACAAAACAATAAAATCAAAAGAAAAGCCATCGCCTACTATGCACAATTAAGTGATAAGATCTTCAAAATTTTTGAGAATTTTATTCAAAAACATTTTTCATTATTTCTTCAAATTGTTTTAAAAAATATTACAAAACATGTTGTTCTATTTGTCCTCTCCTGTTATTTTAACAGCTATATTTTTATTGTATAGCTCAGCATCTGAGCATATAGGAACTTTCTATTTTTACGTAGGTATAGAATAAAAAATGACTGATAACTTAACGCTGCTGATAAAATAACAGAAAATGATACACCATAGGCATATTGGCATATTATAATGATAAAACATTACAAACCATTAAAAGTAAAAGTTTGTTTTAAAAAATGCAACTGCTCCGTTTTTCGTGACGGTGAGTGTATCTATTAATTCTGCTTTTCTCTCGGCTTTTTTTCATTGCAAATAGAGAAAAACTGAATCCAGAAAAAAACTTGAAGATGTCTTTGACTTCTGTCACAATAAAGTAATTAGGTACCAGGTATGCTTAACATAAATAAAAAATCACTTACCTCAACCCAGAGGGGTTCAACTGCCTTGGGACATTTCTCAAAAATGGTCAGTCCATGAGAAAAATCTATCACTTCATCTTGAGTGCCGTGAATAATTAAAGTTGGAGACATGACTTTGGGGACCTTATCAATACTGAAAACAAGATTTGTTTTTTCTCATAAACTATAATTTGGAAGGTTTTATAGATAATGAAAAAAATAAAGTGACAGATTAGCGTATGGATTTCCCGCGTCATTGAATAATTTTGATTTTATGGCGGTAACGACATATTCTTTCTGGACATTTTCACCAGTATAATCAGTTTGATAAAACTCATTGATGTCTCCTATAAAATATTGTAAATATTGGCTTTCGCCAATGAAATGAAAATTTTCAGTCATGTTTATAGTTGGTAATTTGATTTTGATTATTACTTCGTGAATTATATAGATGATTTTCTTTGAATTGAGTTAAGAGGTTTTGTATTTCCCTGGGTATTTCCTCTTCAGAATCTGACATATTACATATATTCCTTCCGTATATGTATAAAAGAGGAATTTCCGATAATAATTTTTATGTTCCTTTTTGAAAAATTTTGGAAATTTTATTTTTGTTTCAAAATTAAAATTAATTAATCAGTCTTTTGGGTTACTTTTTCTTAAAATTATTTTGTTGTTGTGTGTTTGTAGATTCTACGTAAGTCGAGAAGTAGGTAGAGAATCTTAGTTACTTTTTATTTTCAGCTTTTTCAGAAAACCGTTTTGGCATTGCAAAAAAACAAAAATCTGAATTTAAGTCTTCTAAGTAAGTAAATCCAAAATTATTAATTAGAAAAGATAGAGGAAAAGATCAAAAATCAAAAATTCTTAATTATGGAACACCAGTTACAAAATGTTTTAGGAGAAAGGAATTAATTAGGTACTAGACATGATGTTAATAACAGTGGTATTTCTTCATATTTTGTTTCTTTTTGCTCCCTTTACTCAGTTAACAAATTCGAAGAGACAGTAACTGAAACTTTTGCGACTGATTACGACCGTATCAACTTTCTCGAAGCTACAGCATCCATAGATCTGCGTTAATTATATTTTCGAATCAGAAACTTTCAAAAAATCATTTATTGAATTTATCAAAACATAGAAGGATGTTGGATCAAGTTATCAAGGTACAGCAAAAGCTTGAAAACAAACGAGGGTATACATGAACAATACACAATATTATCAGTTGACATTCAACAAGAAAACAGCAATATCAGACAAACCGTTACATTAGGAAATTCTCCAAAAAAAAAAAAAAATTCTATTGATGTTTCCTAGGAAAACTCAGATATTTCATAATAAGCCTTTGAGATCAACAGCTCCTTTACTTGGGATCTAAACCTTTTTTCATTTTCGGTTTTATGGCTAAAGGTGAATGATTGAACAATTATTGTCTGCTATTAAAAACAATTGATCTCCTAATCAGACAGCTGTGCGGTATTGGTAATCCAGCATCATAAATTTGTCAAGCATTATAATTAAAGTCGTTAATTCGTAATTATGGTAGGTATTTTTATACTTTTTATGGATTATACAGACTGATTCCAAAACAAATAATGGAGGCACAGTCAGAATTCTACACGTAGCAAACAATGGTTTGCACGAGACTCTTGTTTCAATTTTACACATATACCTTAAGGTCTTCAGTAACAAGAAAACACTGTTGAAAAAAAAAACAATTAAATAAAAGATAACAACGAGAGTTAGAGAATTACCTGATTATAAAAGATATCCTGTACCAAGAAATAAAAGAGAACTTGGGTCGGAGAAGTGCTAGAAATAGCACTTGGAAAGTTTTGTAAACATAGATTGGGAAAGCATGTGACTAAAAACAGCCCTATCAGGGTTCGGTTCGAGGATAAAAATATAAAGATGAAATGGCTCAAAACAGCAAAGAGATTCCAGCTGAGGAGCAATGACTTGGGTTATAGAGCCAATAAGAAAATATATTTGAACCACGATCGGCATGATCTAACTAAAATGAACCAAGAGTTCCACACAGCAGCTAGCAAGTTTTAAAAATGAAAAAGGCTACAAATATCTGTGGTAATCGAATGGAGATATTCTTCCTAGAAAGGGTGAAAATACGGAGGTCATGCTTGTTGATAACAAGAATGAATCAAAAAACTTATAGGCCAGTGCAAATAATTTTGAATTTGCAAAAATTTTTATAAAGCTGCAACTATCAAAAATAGTTAGCGTTAGTACTCCTAGTAAACATACCAAAAGTCCCCATTCGTCCGGTTGTTGCGTCATTAGAAAAAACAATCCGCCATCTTGAATTTCGGCACTTTCCGGAAAAAATCGTCAAAAACGGTACTTTCTATCGAAAAAACTCAAGAGAAGAAAATTGAATAGAATGAAAAAATGAAGGAGGTATCATAAAAACTGAATGCGTACCATAACGTAGTAACAATCTAGATTTTTTTTAATTTTTGGAAATTTAGCAAAATCAAGGGAACCAGACCATAATGCAGTTAATGCATTTTTTCAATCCCAATAAACAAATAAAATTACCTTTTAACATTTATTAAAATAAAAAAACACTGTAAAAGACTTATATCAAGTTAGCAATACCACATGCACGCCGGGATATGGCGTTAAGTGATTAATTTGTCGCTTTTTTGTCGTAAATTTGTCGTGCAAAAAAAAAATTTGTCGCGTTTTTCTTTTTTCTTAAATACCCTGGTAGTGCTAACTTGATATCAAGTTAGCACTACCAACGTCACCCGATGTTCCTACAGAAGTTTTATTAGGTGAATAATTTGTCGCTTTTTTGTCGTAAATTTGTAGTGCAAAAAATAAATTTGTCGCGTTTTTCTTTTTTCTTAAATACCCTGGTAGTGCTAACTTGATATCAAGTTAGCACTACCAACGTCACCCGATGTTCCTACAGAAGTTTTATTAGGTGAATAATTTGTCGCTTTTTTGTCGTAAATTTGTCGAGCTAAAAATAAATTTGTCGCGTTTTTCTTTTTTCTTAAATACCCTGGTAGTGCTAACTTGATATCAAGTTAGCACTACCAGGGTATTTGGGAAAAAAGAAAAACGCGACAATTTTTTTTTTTTGCACGACAAATTTACGACAAAAAAACGACAAATTATTCACCTAATAAAACTTCTGTAGGAACATTCAAGTTCGCACTATCAGGGTATTTAAGAAAAAGATAAACGCGACAATTTTTTTTTTTGCACGACAAATTTACGACAAAAAAACGACAAATTATTCACCTAATAAAACTTCTGTAGGAACATCGGGTGACGTTGGTAGTGCTAACTTGATATCAAGTTCGCACTATCAGGGTATTTAAGAAAAAAGATAACCGCGACATTTTTTTTTTTTTTGCACGACAAATTTACGACAAAAAGACGACAAAAAGACGACAAAAAGACGACAAAAAGACGACAAATTATTCACCTAATAAAACTTCTGTAGGAACATCGGGTGACGTTGGTAATGTTAACTTGATATCAAGTTAGAACTACCGGGGTATTTAGGAAAAAAGAAAAACGCGACAAATTTTTTTTTTGCACGACAAATTTACGACAAAAAAGCGACAAGTTATTCACCTAATAAAACTTCTGTAGGAACATCGGGTGACGTTGGTAGTGCTAACTTGATATCAAGTTAGCACTACCAGGGTATTTAAGAAAAAAGAAAAACGCGACAAATTTATTTTTTGCACGACAAATTTACGACAAAAAAACGACAAATTATTCACCTAATAAAACTTCTGTAGGAACATCGGGTGACGTTGGTAGCGCTAACTTGATATCAAGTTAGCAATACCAGGGTATTTAAGAAAAAAGAAAAACGCGACAATTTTTTTTTTTGCGCGACAAATTTGCGACAAAAAAACGACAAATTATTCACCTAATAAAACTTCTGTAGGAACATCGGGTGACGTTGGTAGCGCTAACTTGATATCAAGTTAGCACTACCAGGGTATTTAAGAAAAAAGAAAAACGCGACAATTTTTTTTTTGCACGACAAATTTACGACAAAAAAGCGACAAATTAATCACTTAACGCCATATCCCGGCGTGCATGTGGTATTGCTAACTTGATATAGGTCTGTAAAAGTGTTACCTATATATTAATTTAATTCAACTACCAACCCTCGTATGAACTAATAATGAGTAATCGCAGATTCAATACGATAATACTATTCAACGCAAAAAAAATTGACAAGGTCAATTTTACAATGTTTTGGCCAAAAAGCAAATTTAAATTGACAATTTAATTCATAAACAAAAAATCTCATAAGGACTGGTGTTTTTGTCATTAATACAGCGACTATTTCACTAGAGTGTATTACACCGGTTATACAACTCATTGTACATTATTCCCATATGACACGAGAGACTTAAAAAGTGATAAGCATTTTGGGATTATCGCGCTTGGTGGCAATATTGTTCATTTACTATTAATAATAATGAAACTTAATAAAGTATCAAAGTTTAGTTCGTTGTATAACCTTTTGAATACCACTCGAAGTTTCAGGATTACCTAATACTTTTACCCGATACTCAACGTGTTACCAGCAACACCACTCCTCCTTCGGAGTCGTGGTGGTGTTGCGTAACGCGTTTCGTGACAGGTTAAAGTATTATCCGGTAATACTGAAACCTCTTGTGGTATCACATTCGACAATAAATTCGGTATTCAGCTGACAATGTTGCTACCTGGACAATACCAACAACATGGTATTTCAGAGACCATTTTTTGATATTGTCAAACTGATATTTTTAATTTGAAGTTTTTATTCATATTTTTGCATTCTATTTATTTTCAAAATCTTACGTGAAATAGTCATGACCAATACCACTCGAGAAAAAATTGTGTAGGCAAAATTGTTCTCAAGGTTTTATTCAAGTTTGTAGCTTTTCTGCAATTTCGCTCGTGACTTTTTTAATAAAATCACTCGCCTGACAGCTCGTGATTTTGTCAAAAATGTCATTCGCGAAATTGCCAAGCATTAAACTTTCATACCTTTCGAAAATTTTGCCGACAAATTTTTTTCTCTTGTGATATTATATATGAAAAAAATTTGCCCTAACTTTTCCAGCGACAAAACTGAACCTAGCTTGACATGACCAGCAAAATTTATCATTT